CGATACAGTAAACATGATTATTATTTAAAAAAAAAAAATTAGCTTAACATCGACGAAAATTCAACATGACATCACAGCCAACAAATAACAATTTCAACATCCAATAGGTTAACTATAAGCTGTTTAACTTAACACTCGGATGTTATAATTCTCTCCCAGTTGTTGATAGAAAAGGTTGTCATTCAATCTGTTTTCTGTGCAATGTTTTCTTAACAATTGCAACAGAGATAGGCTTAAAAATTTTCTTAAATTTGTGCACAATTGTGCCTACGATCCTCACATAAGGATGCAACTATGCAGACACAAGCAAGCAAGAATATGTGGCAAGAAGTGATGTTTCACATACTCGTTAATTATGACCACACCCAATGCAAGTGAATAGGAGAAAGTGGTGTGGAGATGATAGCATATGTTCATGTTGAACTTGTCACATAGAATTGTGAATTATCACACTGTTATATTCTGTTATATCACACAAGTACTGTTTTACATTAAATTGTTTCAATACCCACGATCAAGATGATGTTTTTCCCCATATTTTCAGGTGTAAATAAACAGTTTTAATTAATTTTTCTTTAACAGTGAGTCCATTGTACAGAAAATGACAGTATTCATTGAGAGCCAGAAATTCACTCTCACCAGCAAGATTTCTCATTTCTCACTTGTGCATGGTTTTCCTTTGCAAAAACTATATNGAAAATCGCGTAACTCCAGGTTCACGTAAGTTGAGGTATTACTGTATGGTAGAGTGTTGATTATCCGAAACAATTCAGGACTGGGATTGTTCAGATAACTGATCATGTACAAAAATATATATTAACCTATCCTATGTTGAAATTTTTCTCCATTGCGTGTCACTCTGCTCCGAATTTTTGTCGATGTTAAACCTAACAAAAAAAAAAAATTTTTTTTAATAATAATTGTGGCTATTGTATCGTTAAAAATTTCTTCTTTATTTTGCACAAACAAAATAAATATATTGAAAAATATAAAAACAAAAAAATTATATTTTGGAAGTTAATCTAGTATCAAAAACTTTGTGATTCAGCATGACACACATCCCGACACAATCCTCAGAAAAACACACAAAACAAGCAAAACTCACCATTCACAATGGGAAAAAACCTCGTTCAAATACTGGCGTGTCCTTAAGTACCCTCTCATGGTCACACTAGTGCTGCCAGCTAAAACACGAACACCAACAAAAATAATATTGGAGTAGCCTAAGACATAGCCAAATATTGCAGTGCCACAGCACTAGCGGATATTTGAATTTGCTGACTGGAATGCTTTCATTTAACAAATGTTTCAGTTGATCGGTATTTGGATAATCAATGCTCTACTGTAATTCTATAAATATGATAATGACTTAAATATGGTTGAAAATGTTAGTTCTAATAAATAAATTTCAATTTGCTGGATTATTGGTTATTTCAATGTTTTTATAGTAATCTTTAGATGATTTCATTAATTATTTAAATAATTATATTTTCAAATAATAAATTTTATTTGATGATATTAAAAATTACTTAGTTCTCTAATCATTTCCATAAATTTTCAAACTGACATTTACAAGATATTTAAAGTTTAAAGCCTGCTAAAAACTGCAATAGTGAAAAAAACTGGTCGAACAAAATTTGTTTGTTACATAATTGACCATTGATTGCCTATCATCAACTCAGTGTCAGTCTACGTCGTACTCTTCAATGGAAAGTAGTCAGTCTGTTCAATATCTCTTAGATCCAAGAAGTTGGATTTTTCAGATGATGATTGGCAATGCTCGAGCGTATTTGAAAGTTTGCAAGAAAGGAGTGTACACTGTAGGACACAAAGAAGGTGGGCGTTTATGCTGTGATCTTTCTTATGTTTCGGCCATGTCTTCACTACACTGGGATTACAGAAAGCTGTTTGATAGATTTTCATAAATGTAATATAAATTATTTCATTAATTTTATTGAAATTTATAAATCTATTGGGTCTCTGATTTTGTTTTCATTTATTCATTAAATTTCTGCCAAACAGACGACAAATGGAAGTAGCCTAAGCTAACATCGGCAAATTACTGTCTCATGTCATCACTGTTTTACAAAACTAACTACATAGAGAGGGAGATTAAATGTTCATTGATTCTGTATAACTACATCACAAATGACATCAGCAGATCATCAAAGGAAAACAGCCAAGTGACCATAAAAATTACCTCTGACCTCACGTAGAAAGTGACAGCATTGCCTAGTTTGCATAGGGCTTAAGCTAAAGTACATTCTGCTAAAATCAAATTATGAAAACCAAAAACCCTTAACATGCTCACTGTCAGTTGAAATGTTTTGCATTGTAAACTTCACATGACTTGCATTGAAAACTTGCATTGTAAACTTCAACCAGCAACAAACATGTTAAAGAAATTTTCAATGATTAAATCTACCCAATTTCTTCACTTGAAATATTAAATTATACTTACAAACTTTTAAAAGAAAGACTTTCTTATAAGTTGAAGAGCTAAATGATAGATATTTCATTTATAAAATTTTTAATCTTTAATAATAAAATTTATCAATTTCTTTTAAAAAATTTAAGTATAACATTATTTTTAACTTTATCCCATTTTCTTGCATTTTTTTTAGAATAATCACACAGCTGTGAAATGCATTCACTGACTTATGCACCGAGAATTGTCCAATTACTGCAGAACTCTGCATATGGCTCTACTGCAGACATATCTGAATGACTATTATCATGGTCCTATTTCACGCCAGATAATGCCACAGATTGCCTTAAAATCACTACTTCAGTATCCAATAAAAAAAGGCTTGCAGGGACTCAGTGTTCAAAATTTTCAGCATACCATACCTATCATCTGGAGATCTTTGAACATCAATGTCTTTGACTGCATCATACTGATTTGCCTGTATGATGCAAAGACATTACCTGATGACATGGTCTTTTTCAAATTTCAACAACCATGTATATGGTTGTTGAAATTTGAAAAAAACCATGTCATCAGGTTGAGGAAAGCAGATGGCAGTTTCGTCAAATTGTCTGTTGAAAAACTATAATCCTCATCATATCATTTTTATTCTGTTTTTTATACATTAATAGTTTTATTATTACATTAATATTCAAATAAATATCATTGGCCATTCAAACAAAAATTCCTTTCAAATCAAAAAAAATATAATTATTAGATAATCTGTCAATTGTGGAGATAATGATAAATTAACTGACAAACTTGAATGTTTATCTACATTAAATATTACAAAGGAAGGCTGGTAACTCTTACCTAACCTAATTAACCGTGTATTTGGCATAAACAAATGATACAACAATAGAATAAATCTTTGATGATATCTTTACCAAGAATGAATAATAGATTTTGCAGTTGTGCAGTCACAAATACAAAATGGAAGAAAGCAATAAATGTCTAATTTGAAATAAGAATTTAATGATAGTTTGGAATTCCATTTTGTTACAAAATGGAGTTCCAAACTATCATTAAATTCTTATTTCTCAAGGGAATTTTAGTACATAAAAAATTCAGGACATGATGAAATCTTAGCTATTCCACTATTAAAAATTGGCTAAGCAATTTTCATACAGGTGACTTTGATGTTCAAGACAGACACCAGTTAGGAAGACCAATTTTCATCTCCATGCCAGAAACCATTTATTATGTGCAACAGCTTATTCTTGAATTTCATTGAAATGTCTAGCTGAATATTAGCAGATATCTGAAGAATTGGTTGGACACAATAAATTGGGGATGACAAAGTAATCTATGAAACGAGTTCTGAAATTCCTAATTACAACTTAGAAACATGACTTATGAAAACATTAAAGGGTTTATTTTGGCTCTGTTTTTTAGAGGAATGCTAAATATTTTGGGGATCAATTGGTGATGATGGTTGAAACCCTAAACTCTTACGACCCTAAACCAAAGAAGCAGTCCACAAAGTTGAGGAATGAGCATTGTCCATGATCAAAAAACTTCAACATATACACTATAGTTCAAGATTCTGGTGCTGATTTTCTGGAATAATTGAAGTGTTATTCTTACCATGCCAAGGACCAGACCATCAATGTGGATTATTTAGTACACAATACAGAGGAAAATTGAAGGAAAAAATGGCATGGAAATCTTTCCAAAATAATAAATTTTTTTTCGCACAATAACACTCCAAAACACATTGTCCTGATAACAATCAGCAACTTGAAGTTTGAAAAAATCCAACATCTACTCTATTTCCCTGATAGAGCACCCTCAAATTATCATCAAATCCTCATCTGAAAAACACCTGAAAGGAAGACTATGGAGAAATGGTTTGGGACCAGTTAAAATTATTTTTAAATGGGAGAAAACTTTAGAATACCATTTCCAGCAGTAGTATTCCAAAGGTTGAGACCAAGGAAAAATATGTTGAATAGTAATTAGTTGTCATTCACATACAGTGTTTGCTACTGTGTCTAGCAAATAATTATTTACTTCCCCACATATATGCTTGGTAAATACATAAATATAATACAAATATTAAGTATACTAAGCTTCCTGTGAATTTAGTTTCTTATTGAAAATATCTTTGTTGTTTTTATTAAGTCTATCCCAAATTTATGTACTCTACTAAAATTAAAAATGTCTAGCTTTTTAATTATATATATTTTTATAGTATTAAGTCAAAAATTGGTTGATTATATATTCTAACATTATATTCTGGTTTAAAGGTCAAAGAGTAACTAACCAGGATAGTTATAGATGCATTAAAGTTATGCTGACGTATGGATGAATGGTTGATGAAGATGCTCTTTAGGTAACACTAATATGAAGTTTAAACTTAATATTGTGAAGAGCACAAGTTAAAAATTAATCTAATAGTTCCTATAATTAAATAACTGCATCATTATTCTTAAACTATTATATTAAAAGGGAAAAACAACTAATAAAGATTTTTAACATTGAGAAACAAATATTTATTAATAATTTGTTTAACAATTCAAATAATACTTACCCACTCCATTAACAACTTTTGTATAAATTCCTAATATAGGATCAAACGATATCATTGATGGCCACCACGGATGACCTGGAATTTTTGACCACAATAAATCACCAACTAACCAATCACAAGGTACATCTTTCTCTTCTAAAGAGTTCTTTTCTTTAGGAAGGGTTAATTTCAGTTTTTTATTGACTGGTTCTTCTGAAACAACTGCTGTATCATTATTTGAACAACCATCAGTGATATTATTTTCATTGTTGGGAGAATGTTCTGTATTGTTTGAAAAAGAAATATTTCTCTTAACAGATGTTGAAATTTGTGATGACTCTTGTACTTTGGCTGGTGATGATTTCACTGGGGTTGTTTTCTTCCTAAATAAGGGCACGAACTCCATATCGGGATTCAACGAACTCTTGTGTAGACGTCCATAACGACTCCTGTATGGAACTTCAGAATTGAATAAAATGGGTGATGATTTCTCATTTGTGGAGTCTGTTGTGTTATTCAAAGTTTTTTCTTCAACTATACCATTCATGTGTTCTTCAGAAACAATTTCTGTTTTTTCTTCATTGCAAGACTGAACAGTTTCATTTTTAGGTTTATCATCTGAAGATTCCTGTTTTTCTTCATTTTCTTTTATATTTTGATCATTTTCAGAACTGGTTTCTTTCTTCAGTACTTTCTTCATTTCGCTCTAATTTTTAAAATATCAAAATATTTATTCAACTTTGTAGATATCTCTTTTAATTACTGTATCATTTGATTTCCAATCAGATTTGATCCATTCATCAGTTAATCTCCCCTTTATATTTTTGAAGACATCTGATTCTAATATGTTATTTCCATGCAAAAATGTTTTCATTATTTCAGAAATCTACCATATTTCTATAAATATATTTACATTCACAACTATCTTAAATTCCTTTAAATCTTCCTTAATATAACTGAATATCTAGAAAATGAATTAAAAAATATAATCAAAATTCATGCAGACTTAAAATTTTAATCAATTGTAACAGAAAAGAAATTCAAATCCATAAACAAAGAGTAAGATTTAAATATTAGTATTTACTTATAAATTATAAAAAATGTAAAATGTTAAACGTAAGTACAGTTGTCCCTCGATAATCCGACAGGTATGGGACCAAAGGTGTGTCGGATTACCAAAAGTGTCCAGATTACCGAAAATAATTACATATTTCGCATTGTTTTGCTAGCAGTAACTTACAATATTCTCTACTCCAACTGTTTGAACAGAACTGCTCACATAAAACACACGAAATGTGTGTCATCGAGTAAGAATTGGATGGGGAGATTCACATCGCGACATGCTTCTGTGCAAGCAGACACGAACGGGGACGGGTACCTTGACGGGAGGTGCGTCGGACTACTGAGCATGTCAGATTAAAAAACGTCGGACTATCGAGGGACAACTGTATTGGGAATAAAGTCAATCTAACAATATTGTTTCAGGTAGCCTATTATAATAGTAACTACCTGAAACCATTTTTTGAGTAATACAAAAGATTTCTAAGAAACTGAAAAAGAATTTGCTTTAATGAAATTTAAAAGACAAAATGAAACATAAAACGATGTCTACTAAAATAAATGAACAGAGCCAGAATTGAGAAAAAAATATCAAAATACCATCCACACATTTCAGCAAAACATTTATTAAGTGATTTACAAATGTGTGAGGGCCAGAATTTAAGAGGGCCGAGATTCGAATAGTTATATTCATTTTGTTCATTCATTTACCGTTTTGTTTCAAAATCAAACCGATTTTTTTAAAGTTAGGGTTAACACAAAAAGGGAAACACAATCGACAAATTTTCTCATAAAAATCGCTCATAAAACTTCGTTCCCACGACAATACTTCCATGTAGAGGATGAGTTAACTGTTGTGTCATAAGTTTGTCACTTCGCCCACCATTGGTCAACGAAGATCATCACCTGTGACGTACATGGGGAAATCTCAAAAATAGAGCCCCCCATATAAAAGACAAGTGCAATGACGACACAGGGGGAAAAGTTATTTTTCTATACTGTGTGTGTGTGTGTGGATTACCTGCCTCTCGTCGCCACCGTCTTCAACAGACTTTGAACTTTGACTGATTTGAACTTTGGGCTATATTCCGAATCCAGGAGAACAAGAAACTACATTCACGGTTTAACTCGAGGTATTTATTCTACTCGCGATGATATGTAAGCTCTCTCTCGCTATTCGAATATTCCAAACTCGCGGGTAGGGTCACGACTACTTTATACTTTGCCATTACTTTATAAACTATACGGATTGAAAATCCCGAGAGGGATTTGTATTCCAATTATTAACCATGTATAAATGTATGGAATAAACGGGTATTTTGTTAACAAATGATTGGAGTGCATTTCTTCCACCATTATCTCCTCCATACTGAACCTGAAGTCCTCGACGAGATCACTCATGATAATTCCCCCATCTATCCGCGATAAATTGATAGATTGGTGTCAGATCCTGACAGGTGAAAGAATCTAACGATCCTTTCTCCTAACCCTTTTTTACCCATCCTTTAGACAAGCGAGACCGGACCTTAAGGTCTTCAGTCGAGTAAGTGGTAGGAGAGGAACATCCTCGTAAACATCCTACCCCCGATTAGTCTCACAAATGCACATGAAATCTTTGACAATCCATATTTTATGTCAGATAAGCCAACATTCCAATTTCAAATGTAACTTCCAAACTTGTATTAAATAAGTTGAAAATATTTGTCAACTTAAAAGTTTCTGCTGGAAATGTGTGGATGGTACTTTGATATATATGTTCATAACATCTACTGCTTTCTCACTTGTATTCATTAACAGTATTGCTTAAAATGATTATAAAACACTCTGTGGTAACATAGCACAAAACATATTTGTTGCTATGAGAATGAAAAAATAAACAAACACTCATTATTATGTAACTTAATACACAAAATTTTGTATTTTGACTTTCTTAATAGTAAATTTTTTGTGAACTGTTAAAGCAAACGAGTGCATTTCTATAAATATACAGTATATTTTGTAAAGTTTTATCTGATGCAGCATATCTGGATTTTTAAAAAAATAAACAGAATCAGATAAGTGACAAATCATTACCATAAAAATTTACAAAATTTATTTTTTTATATATGCTAACCATATATTACCTATATAATATTCCTATAATATAAATAAATAAAGTTATTTTATGTCAAACTACATATTATTTATTCTTTGTAATGAAACAGATGTCTTATGAGGAGAATATCCTGTCAAGTAAATTTAGGGTTCAAAATGCACCAGAACATATTTTGCAGGTATCACTAGTTTGATAAATATTAATCATAGTTACTCAGAGAATCTTGACTGACTATTCATACATTAAATTTATAAAATACTTGCCAATTATTGAACTGAGAATTTGATTCCCACTCACTATATGATTTCAAGTTTAATTAATTAAACAATAAATTATTTAAATCACTAAATAGTGAATAAAAGAAGCATTCCCTTTTATTACTAAGAAATTATCAAACAAAATCAAAATTTTTAATTACAACTGACCAATGTAAACATAAAAAACTCTTTAATTTGTTTAATAATTTTTCTCATAAAAATAATTTCATGCATATACTTACCAATAATGATGACAAAACATGTTTAAACATTCTAAAAGTTTCTGAATTCTCATAATTCTATTCATTTTGGTTTGAAATCCTGCAAAAATTAAAAAATTGTCATGCTTCATAAATATTTATTATTGAATATTCTCAATTCATATAAATAAATTATTTTTAGCATTTCAACATAGCCAGAAAAAAAATATAATAGAAATATAACAACAATTATTTGAATTTCTTCCTCTTAAAACTACAAAAAGGATTTCTTCCTTTTAATAGATATACAACTTTAAAGTCAAAGAAATGTATGAAATATACTCCAATTTCTTCCTTTGAGTTCTATTTTTCTGTCCTTCCAACTGTAAACCATAAAATGAGAACTCTCCAAAGGAAGAAATCCATAGTCAAGAAATGCAAAAACAAACAGAAATGCTCCTGAAGTTACAAGTCTATGAAAAAGAAGTGTGTCCAAGAGGAGGAAATCCAAATAAAAAAGGATTTTTTAGAATCAGCAATTATAGCAATGGTAATAAATTCTTTAAAGCTAAGAAAATTAAAGTAAACTCTGGATTTTTTGGCATTTTCCAAATTAGATTGCTAACAGATATTGATATTTCATTCCATTATGAAACTGACTGAGTTTATGAACTTAAGTACAGGATGTTCTATTTCAACTTTGATTACAGGAAATAATAACTTCTGCATTCAGCAGATTCAACTGTTGCAAAGCTGTTGAGTGTTTTGATGTCATTTATGGTATCTTCGGGTACCTAAAACTGATCAGAGATTGCTGCTCCACATAGCAAGTGAAGTATATATTTATGCATATAAAGGCATACATTACAGTATCAATTCACTCAAAAACATTTATTAGAAACTAAAATCAGACAGATACAAAATAAAGTTTATAGCATTTGATGAAGTAAATTAAATCCACTTTTAAAGTTTATGGAAATGAGCAGAAGCTACTGTAGCACCACTATCACTCGCATCAACTCAATTCTTATTTACAGTATATACATTATACAGTACATCCCCAATACTGCAGTGCACAATTGAGTGGTGTGATACAGTTATACATTTTAAGATGATAAGTTATGTAACATTAGACACATTAGTATATGTGAGGATCTCATTTAAAGTGTCTTAATTCACTTTTTTTGGCAGATTCTTATCAATTACTGCTACAGTATTGCCACTCACAATTAGAACTGTTGAGTCTGCTGAATGCAGCTAATCGTTTTCTTTTTCTTAATTTTATTTTATTTAAATTAGTACAATGTTTTTCACCCTTTGTACAAGAAACAAAATAATAGAAATACATCAAAAAAATTTACAAATAAAATTCTGATAATTAAGTCAACAGTATATAATACGCAATGCTTAACAATCTATATTAATATTATAAAGAGGTAAAGTTTGTAAGTTTGAATGTAGAAGGTAATCTCCGAAACTACTCATCCAATTTCAAAAATTCTTTCACCAATATTTAGAATGGACCTTCAGGGTAGACATAGGCAGTATATTATTCCGTTAAACCTTCATATAAATTAAAAGATATCATTTAGGTAAATGTTATATTTTGGTGCCAGTGGGTGGCGAGGGGCAAGATGCATATGTATATGTGATAGGTAAACACGCGCTCCCATGGTCGACGAGATACGCAGTGCATGTGTCCGAACTTGTATATTATATAGATGTCGAAATACTCCCTGCGGGGGAGAGAGACAAAGTTAAGGCTTACCGCAAAGAACTCAGCTTCTATTATACTATTTTAGATGTGTTTTTTGTGTTTTAATAGGGTACGTCAAGAGAATGTACACTAAGAAGGGATTTTTTTGAAATTCCTTCCTGCGGGGAGTATTATACATTTATAATAGATACATTTTAAGCTACAGCAACGGGTGGCCGGGTATAGCTAGTAATTAGATAAACAAATATCAGTAACCAAACTGTGACAACCTGGTGCCATAATAATAAAAATAAACACTACTTTACACAAACAAAAAAAAAAAAAATCATCATCATAAAACATAAAAACTCCTATTTATATTTTTATGTTGTATGTATGTATATATAAGATAAACTACTTTCTTATATTTTATAATATATTGGGTTGTTTGGGAAGTAATTTAGTTTTTTTGTGGGGGAAAAAATTTTTCTTATAATATATAAATATTTTATTGAATTATATATTGACCATTTTGATGACCAGAAAGATGGCAACATGATACCTGTTGCCATCTTTCTGGTAGTAGCATGATTCCACGTTCATAAAAGTTTTGATCTTTGCTTACAAAAAACTGATCCAAGTGATTTTTGACATCCTCATTTGAAGTAAATGTTTTACCATTTAAAAAATTTTGTAAAGACCAGAACAAGTAATAATTAGAAGGTGCAAGATCTGGCAAATACAATGGGTGTGGTAGCACATCCCATCCAAGCTGTAACAGTTTCTGACAAGTTACCAAATTTGTGTGAGATTTGGCATTATCATGGTGAAACACTACACCTTGTCTGTTGATCAATTCTGCCCTTTTCTATTTGATGGTATCACTCAATTTGTCTATTTGATGGCACTACACTCTGAAATCAATTGTGGAATTGTCTGGTAGAAGCTAAAAATAAAATCCCACCAAAGAGAGCATCTCTTTCTTAAAGAACATGTGGAACCCATATATCGAGCTTTGAAATGAAACAAAGTCATTTCAAGTGATCATAAACGGTTCAATTCGACAAATTTAATCTTGGCGATTTCTTGTGTTGTTATTCAGCAGTTTGCTTCAATCAGTACCTTTATTTTATTTTCATCAGCTTCAACTAGCCTTCCAGAACATGTTGCATCTTCAATAACAAAATTGCCAAAACAAAATTTTGTAAACCAGTTTTTGCACTGTCATTCTGTCAGTTTTTACACTGTCGTTCTGTCGATAATTGCAATCCTTATAGCCAACTATTACCTTATCAACTGTATTCTTAACAAAAGATCGTATTTCCCTTCAGAAAGAAAGTCCCACATATGATTTGCCGTTTCCATAAAGAGACTTTGTCACGGCCAATCTAAAAAACATTTTAACACTTCATAAGGGTAGCTTTTAAATACTTCTGTTTGCTGCTCTTCGTCCATTTGTTAAAGTAAAACATAAAACATCAGCATAGTGTTCTTTAGGAAAGTCAATACAATTGCAAGCAGAGTCACAATGTCTATTTGCTACATATCCTGCAGTTTTTACCAAGACCCTCTTTTTTTCTTAAGAAATATTTAGTTGCTGCTTCATTGCTGTTAATTGCTGAATGTTGAAATGCATATTCATAAGGGGTAACACTGTCATCTTGACAATATCTTTCCATTATATTACCAAGCTGAACTATTTTTCTTTCTATATTGTGAGACCAGAATGTCACTAAAGGTGGTTCATTAATTCTTATTTTCCTAAGATCTTTTCCATAGAGTTTCTTACCACTTAGTTGGTTCCACAGAATAAAGATGTGATCTTCTAAACAATACGTGCATGCTAATCCATAGCGTCTGACAATATCTAAGTTTTTGTCTTGCACTAACATTTGTGTTGTTTTTTCTTTGTCAATAGTACCTTTGGGTGCCTGGGAAAGTTTGTTTAGATTTTTTCTAGTATATCCTACACTCAAAAGATTTTTATGATACTCTTTCCATGTTAACACCTGCCAGCCTGTTGCTTCAACAAAACTTGATAATTCCTTTTTTAAGGATTTTGGCAATGATAGTTTCAGTACCTTTTTTATCACTTCTCTCTCTACCTTTTCCCATCCCTTTTTTCTTTCACCAATATTCATGGTTGGTAATGAGAAGTAAAACTTCGAAGCTAAGTTTCTAATACCATCTTGATTCCACAATGTAATAGATATCTTAACTAGAGCTATATGCTCAAGCAGTGGCATTAAAGTGTAATTCATTATAGCCTCTACTAAAATACTTAGTGTACCCTAAAAAAATAAAGAAAAACATATATTTTATTCTATTATGGTATCTTGAATCACACACACCCAAACCATGTAGATTTACTCGCATCAACTTTTATTCAAATTCTAAGAGTCATTACAGATGTTTTCTAAATAAAGCTATAGAAAGATACCTGATCACAAATAACACTACAAAAAAGCTTTTAAAACATGTTTCTATTGCCCTAAAGCATATCTACAAACTTATAAACAAGCATAACTCATGTACACTTGGTTAATTTGACTTTAGTTTCTCGATTTTGCTAGCAGACAATCCAGTTAATCTAGCAATAGTAGTGGCATCCATGCCATCTGCAAGCATTGCTTCTGCAATTTCAATCTTCCCTTCATCAAATTTTTGGTTAAGGCAAGATACATCATCACCCTCATTTTTCTTAATCCAGTCATACATAGCCTGCTCTTCTCTAGTCCAATTATATCCAACCAGCTTGTTATAAGCTTTACCGATAATTATATCACTTCCTACTATTGTTTTTAGATCCTCTTCACTAATCTCACTTGCATATTTAAAAAAGTAGCACCATTTCTCGACTATATTTTCTAATTGATTTTCCTTTGTTTTTGGAAATTTTGGTAACTGTACGAAATTAAAACTAAAATCCTTCAGGTCATGTTTGAAAGTTTTTGTATCAAGAATAATGTGATCAAATTTGTACTCTGGTTTATTAAGAAACAGAACAAAATCAGTGATAGCAATAAAGATAACTTCCCTTAAGTCTTGATACCTGGCACCTATGCTGGCTTGACTTGAATAAGCCTTAGCAGTATAAGATTGTGCACGTTTTTCAAAACCACTTGTTCTAGCAACCTGCATCTTGCAAATAAATCGAACACCAGTGGAATCCTCAAATAATACATCAACAATACTTTCCTTTTGAGAAGCAATTGCTGGGTCTAGAATCAGACTGAGAAAGGTTACCTTCTCTATTTTAGCTTCACCAGTGCGACCTAAAATATCATTGAGAAAATGAATGAGAATAACTTTATTTTTCTCAGTACCAAAGATACGTCTAAAGGCATAATTGTTTTTTGGATCTAGAAATTTTGACAAAGCCATAAGATGTTCACTTAAAAAGCAAATAATTATACACTATTCTG